GCCGAGCCCGCGAAGTACGCGCCATCCAGGTGCGCAAAGCAGTCCCCCTGCGGATCCACGGTCCGCACTGAGGCCCCCCCCCAGGCTCAAGTCGCCCGCGGTGCCGACCGCGTAGAAGCCGGGGCTCGTGGGGCACCCCTGGTCCAGCCCACGAATCTGGGCGACCAATTGGGCTGGTTGTGCCCCGCCTCCCGCCACGTGGTTGGTGCAGTCCTGCAGCCGGGCCTCAGCTAGAGGGCGAAGGCCTCGGACCTTTGTGCGGATCGACTCCTTGACTAACTCCCCGGGGATATTGCTGAAGGCATCCCCCAGGTCCACAGCCGCGACCCACCGGCCAGGTTGGGCGTTGGCCATCGTGCACAGACGACGGTGCAACGCACCGCGCCTGTCCTTGGCGCGGCCGAACTGCTGCCCACCCACTGCTGCGCGCATGCCAGCATGAAAGATCGCAGCCGCACTGCGCCCCACCATCCGCCGCGTGACATTCCCACGGCCCAAGACGCGCGCGTGTCCAGGGGTGGCCTTCGGGATGCCCGCGAGACGGGCGGCCACGAGCGCTGCGAGAGGTCCTTGGGGGAGGTCGCCAGCGGCGAGCCTGCCGAGCGCGTCCGCAATTGCTGCCGCCCCCTTCTCGTCCGTCTTGAGGGGGGCCCAGTGCTCGTAGCATCCGCCCCCTGGCCCTGCACCACAGGCGCGAGGCGGACCTCGCCGCCTTCCGCGGCGGCCATGACCACGTCTCCCTTCCTTGGGTGGCTTGTCCGCAAGGCATGCGCGGGGCTGCTCCAGCGCCTGGAGGGGGGCCCCCCAACGGCGGGCTGGGGTGGGTCAGGCATCTGCGCAGTATGAAACTTATGGACCACTGCCGCTGCATCTGCAATGTCACCCTGCGGCCAGACTGCCGCCGCAGCGCGGGGCATTTCGCCTGCCCGCGCAAGCTCTGCGACGCGGCGCACTCGGGCCTCAAGCTTCTCTTCTTGGCCTCGGCCCGCCGCAGGGCCCCGGCGCGTCTGGACTTCCATGGGCGACTTGGCCGCGCCCCATTGGCTTGCGAGGATCCACCTTAGGCGCCCCCGGGGCCGCTCGCGCCGCGCGCTCGGCGTCGGCGCCGAGCCTTCGCTGAAGAGGGGGGGGGGGGGGGCGTCCAATGCTACGAACACCTTCCAGAGACGCTCTGGCGTAGCTGGCGGCATGCCATCCTAGCTCGCGTGGACCTGCTCCAGGGCTAGACATGCCTTCGCCTTGACGTGGCTGACCGCTGCAACCGCGCTGCCGGGGATCATGGCCGTCGCGGGGGGGGGGGGGGGCCTGGAGCAAGATGCTTTCCCAGCTCACAGCGTCCCACCATGCCTTGCCATGCCGGGTTCGCGAACCCGATCTCGTGGTAAGTATCTTCCGCGCTCAGATTCTCAGCATGGTGGTCATCGCACTGCCCGTGACCCCCCTCTTCGCCAGGCCCCCCTGGTTTCGTATCCAGGGGGGCTGCAGGATAGCTGCTGTGGGCGGCGGGTCAGCCTCCGCGACCCGAAGCGCGTCATCAGGCTGCCTCGGGCCATGGGCGTGCGTGGGCGCCGCCAGAGGGAAGGCAGGAGGTGGCCTCAGGGCTTCCCTGGGCCCCCTCTCCTGCCCCACCCACCTGCGGTGCCTGGTTCGCCACCGACTCCTGGATCGTGAGGATCGGGTTTGCGCGTGCCTCGGGAGCGGCCTCGAGTTTCTCGCGCTTTCCCTCCGCAAGTTGTGTGTATCATTCAATGCCCGAGGCTGAAGGCAATTGGCCATCCACACATACCAGGTGGAGCCACTTGTTGCCCGCGTGGGACGTTGAGCCCGCGGGGGTGGGCGACAGCTTTCGCGACTCGCTATCCCCGTGCGTCAAACCCCGCCTTGCATCGCGAGCAGTGGGCTTGCTTCCTGCGGGAAGGCTGAATACTGACGCACCAGCGGGTGGTCCTGCCTCCCGTTGTGCGTCGGCGTCGCCGCGCGGGCTGGCCCTCGGCGTCGCGCATGGCCACGTCTGCTGCCGCACCCGCCGCGGCGCCTACGTCGAGAGCACGCGGGGCTACCCCGGCGGAGCCGACGTTGGCCACGGTTGCCGCAGCGCGTGCCCGCTCCGGTGTTGCCACAGAACTACTCCCAGTCACGCGTTCACCTGCACCTGCGTCCGCAGCGCCTCTGGCGGCCGCCGCCATGTCCCTGGAACTCCCTTCAGGGGCAAGAAAAGGTGTGTGCGTGTGTGTTCAATAAGTGGACAACGTGGAAATAGGGTGTCTGCCACCCGCGGTTTGAGGGTAGTGGCAACCGTAACACCCCCCACCCGCAGGCTCCCCAGAGTCTCAGAAGTGTATTACTACGACGATTACTACTAGTACTACTACTACTACTACTACTACTACTACTACTACTACTACTACTACTACTACTACTACTACTACTACTACTATTCCTACTACTACTAATTTAATTCTACTACTACTACTACTACTACTACTACTACTACTACTTC